AAAAAATTTATAATTGGTATTGGGCATATTATTGGGCACTGGCAGCATATTGTAAAAAGCCGTCAGTACATCTTGCAACGCTCTATTAGTTAAGTTATTATCAATGTACAATTTAACAATTGTATAAATACTTTCATTTGTGCTCTGCTTACTATTTTCATAGAGCATTTCCTTATCTGAAAGTTCATCGGCATCACTTTCGTCAGAATTATATGAAAGATATTCATCATTTTTCGCTTGTAAATTTATATCAGATTCGTTGAATTCATTACTATCATTTTCGTCATTATTGCTGTATGCAATATTTTCGCTACTAGCTGTTGAAATTGAAATATCGTGCGAACTTAATTGTTCATTATCGAATTGCTCGTTATTAATTTCAATATTGCTCGTACACGGATCTGTACTCGGATTATTTTGATGATTCTCGTGCGTCTGTCTAGCATCATGTCTACTACGTGTCCTTGCAGGTATCTATAATCAAATGTTAACTCAAGAATATGTATAATTAAGCTAGTAGTGGAATATATATATTTATTATAATTTTATAATTAAATCTTAAACTATATGTCATAATTAATCTATATATATTAATATTTCTAATATATATAATTTCTTTCTTAATTATTCTTCCCCCTTCGCCTATACAATCCAAGAAAAATTCACGCCTAGAATTCAAGCAGTTCTGTGGTAAATATACGAGATTCATACATACCGGTATATTTTCATTGTGTAACCAATCCTTGTACTTTTGTTTTTTTATTGGAGGGTATACATCTTCGTCATCTCCATATTCCATATTAATTGACATAGTCGCGTTCTTTATAGTTTTAACTTTCCGTGAAAAGACGTGATAGTAATAATACCAAATGACTTCAAATCAAAATTTAAAATACATTAATAGATTCTCAAAAATTATTAATATTTGCGATGTAAACGGCTAATAGGAATCGGCGTGGTAATTATTACACAGTAACTTTTTAAGAAATTAAACAACAGTTAACATTACATATATAGCAGAGTTTTGACACAAACTTTTGGCCATTTTCAGTGTTACATAAGTGGAATCAGAGTAGTATTCGCTCAATTATATCCGCATCACAATATGTCATCTATGTTAACAACTATGTTATAAAAAGACTGGGTGAGATCTTCGGATAACGTGTTATAGGGTTTTCGTCTTGGAATATTCTAAAGAATCCGCACTTAAAAGAAAATCCGCGGGTTTTGGGGCACCCTGTATATGTAATGTTAACTGTTGTTTAATTTCTTAAAAAGTTACTGTGCAATAATTATCGTGCCGATTCCTATTAGCCGTTTACATCTCAAATGTTGACTTCAAATTACTTTTAGCAACATCCGCGAATGCCAATCGTCAGAACTTCCAGTTCTTCTTTAGAATCAAAGAAGATTATCGAACTCTGAAATAGGGATCGGGACTGCAATAAATAATATCAGAAAATTAGACGCGGTTTCATCGGAAAGAAGGATGATACACAAAAAAAGCTACATTATCGTGTAGGCGCTTATGGATATATAGCTCCTCTCTGCACTGTGTACCTTTTTTATTTCCTTTTCGACGGGAATTTGGGAGTCAATAACAAAGAAGGCGTAAAAGTCACACTTTCAGCAATAATTAAGCATGTTGGAATAAGTTTAATAAGTGTGATCGCGGTATTCGAGACAAATTTTTTATGCAGATATTAGATGTCAAATGCCACTTTTAGGTTATATTAGGTCATCAACACTGAAATATAATAATATTGGAACGCAGAAACAAAGGCGACATAGGCCGTGCGCGTTCCAGTATTATTATATTTTAGTGGTTGCCAAAAAGACGAACAAATTGAAACAGTTGATGCGGCTGATGCAGTCCTTACGCAGAATTTAAACTCATCGACAATATATAATATAAGCATACATAATTAAGTAAAAATACAGAACTAAGTAAGTAAAACAATAATAATATGATGCTGAATTCAAAGTTGGCGGTATTTTGCATTATTCTCTCATTGGCTAATTAGAAACGCGCATGTGCAAGAACATACACCTTTATATTTCACGATCGTCAATCGTCAACCGTGCCAGCTAGTGTGTGGAAGTTTGTGCTAGTGCGTTACTTTATAATCAATCGGTTTGTACATTATAATAGAAATGTTTCTTCTTAAATGTATTGAAGATGGATCTTACTGCGTCGTTGATAACGAAGCGGTAATTTACGATGAAAAATCTGTTAAAAAAAAGGATAAAGTGACTTTTTTTTACAACAAAAAGGAATACGAAGGAGAGGTTATAATATACTCAGGTAATAATATATACAATTAAAATTAGTTTAGCAAGAATTTATAAAAATAGTATAATTAAGATCAAATATCCGATATTGTGATAATAAACTTATTGTTAATGAGACATGTGTTACCTAAAACTCATGTAAACGAAGCACCACACTTTGTCCGAGGGACATACTTAGAACGTAGAGAACGTCGTCTGGACGTCTTTAGCTGAACGTCTCTGATGTGTACATCGGAGATGTGTACTATACAAAACATCTATAAAATCATCATTTTAGAAGAATCTTACCAATCTAACCTCACTTTAAAGAAACAGTCAACAAATTTTATGCATCTATATACATATAAGTTCCAAATGACTTGTGCCAAGTAAACAGTGGTTGCGTTCAGCAGAAAAAGCAGTTTTGCAACTGTTATAAATTTAATATGATTAATTCTTGCCCTTAGTTCCTCATGGATCTAAATATATAAACCAACAATATTAAAGAATCTTACAACAGTTGGAAAGCTGCTTTTGCTGTTAAACGTAACCATTCATTGTTCTATAATTGGGAATTATTTAACCATACATTAAGGTTAATAAATTTGATAAAATCTTTTTTTCTCGTAGAAAAAATTTTGTTTTAATACTTTATTTCTGATAATTATAATTGTATAAAAATATGTTTTATCATAAAATAAATTTGTGATTATTTAATTGTTTGATGATATATAAATTTGATTGTAGATGATCAATCTGTGATCGATAAACAATTTGAAAAGATAAAAAAGGACATGAAGATAAGCAAGAAGTCTAAAAAAGATCGCAAAACCGATCATGATCCGTCTACTCAACAAAATACAAAGTCAAGCCAGCGAAAAAAATCCAATGCTGATATCTCTAATAATATGCCGCCGAAAAAGAAAATAAAGGTTAAGTTTTGAGGTCCTTGCACAATAATGTCATGCAACAGGCAACAGAAAATAAAAAATTTAACCTATCAGAAATCGCATATTCTACAATACACGATTTTCAATAAGGTGAAATTCTTATTCTCTGTTGTCTGTTGCCTGTTGCCTGGCATTATGCAAGAACCTTTGCTTCGTAAATGTTAATGCATCAATATATATGTATAGATGAGTTTTATAATGGTCGTCAAATAGCAATTTGTCAAATATTACGATATGTCGATCGTCAATACTTAAAAAAAATTGTTAAGTTTAGTAATTAACTAATATAATTTTATATTAACCGCATTAAAATATTTTTTATAGATCGAAAAACCATCACCAGAATCGAAAGACATTAATAGGAAAATACTACGTCCGTCAAATTTAAAAGTTAAAAATAACGAAAAAGAGTACGAACTTTCTGAAGATCTGGATGTTCACCGTGATTTATATACGGACAATTTAAATAATAATTCTGTAGACCTCAAGAAAAGATCAAATGAAAAATTAAGATCTACAGTATCTAAAATTCTCGCTGATACCAGTGAAACGAGCGAAAGCTCTAGTGCATCAATTTCGGTTGAATCAATTTCATCAGTAAATAGCTCCTATTCTAATTCTGGAAATCAAAGTCCAACAAAGGAAGAATTGAAGCAAATTATTCGAGAACTTCAGAAAAAAAATTCTGAAATAGAAACTGAAAAATCAAATAAAACTGAAAAATCAAATAATTTTTCAAGTTAGTGTAATATTTTATATATGCAAGACGTTCCGCTTAGAGATAATAAAAGAAAAATTTATAACATACAAAATTCTAATTCTAGTAACAAAAAAAAAGCAGTTCTATAATTTTAAAAATTCAACAATTTTGGAGCATAGCGTATGCGCAAAAACTAACTAGAGTGTTGCGCGTGAACATTTAATAAACGAAATTTTCATAAATTCTGAACATATAATTTATTAACGATATGTGTTATTTTACAAATATTCTTACAAAAACTCAAAAAGTTTTTGTACATGTCTAATAAACAGATAATACGGATAGTTGTCCAGTATTCTGCATATTTCTATTTTCAACATGTGGGTTGAGGTTGACTACGTGAGATGTTTATTGATCAACGTGTAAAAAAACTTTTTGAGTTTTTGTAAGTATTTCTGGAAGAATGTATATTACTAATAAATTATAAGTTTAGAATAATTATAAGTAATATAATATAATTATAAGTTTAGAATTTATTATAATTTCTTTTTTTAAATGTCTAAGCATAACATTTTGTGAACAACTTTTGTACATGCGCTGTGCGCTCAAAATCACTGGGTTTTCAAAAGTTTCAGAGCTGTTCTTTACGGTGGCATCTAGTTTTCGTCATTAGAACTAGTACTTTATACGTTATAAACTTTTATTATTATACCTCTAAATAAAGCACCCTATATTTACTTACAAGTACATTAATTTATTATTTTATTATTTACATTTTAATATTTATATTTCAATATTTATTATTTTACTTATTATTTTATTCCTTTAAATATATTTTTTAGATAAAAGTATTGAAAAATCGTCTTCGTTCCCGTCACAGGATTGTAATAAGGAAAAAAAACTCGATGTTTCTATATCTAATCGCCCAAACGAAATCTCGCTAAGCATTAAAAAAAAAATTACGTCTGATCAAGAAGACAAATGTGAAATTGAAAAAAAAAATTATCAACTTTTTGGTGCAAATTGTGGAGACACGGTAATATTTGTAATTGTTGAAATATTTCTTAATAATTAGACTATAATTTACATCGTTATTGAGTACATTCTATAAGATTTTAATTTACGAAAATTTATTCAATAATTTATTTTCTAGATGGTTTTGCTTTCTAACGGAATATATTGCAAAAAAAGAATACTTAATACTGCAAAAAGTATTGCGAAAAAACCAAAGCATTTTGCACGTCAATTAATGGCAGGAGTGTTCACGCCGGAAGCCTTTTTAAATTGTACTTATAAAGGGCAGGCTCCGAGAGCTCATGGCAAAGAGAGAGCCAAAATTCCAGTTGATTGTTTAGACTTTGACGCAAAACAAGCGATTCTTGGTAAGAGCGTTAATTATACAATTTAGTTAAAAAACGCATATTTATACAATTACATCATTTTTTGTAATATTTAGATTACACGGACATGGAAGCTAAAAAACGCACTGATTGGGAAGTACAAACTCGTAATGACATAGAAGAAGGCATGTCTAATAAATTCAACGAAGAGAGAAGTGCGCTTTTGAAAAATATAAAATCTAACAGCCAATAATTATCTTTAATTTTTTTAAATTTTGCATAACGATACTTTTGTTCTTTTAATTTGACATTTATTCGTAACCAATTTCAAAATCTGAGAGCAAAAAATGTTTAAAATTTTTTTTTAATTTTGCATAGTATACTTTTTAAGTTGACATTTATTTGTGATAAAAATTTGTATTGATTGATAAATATTTTTATAATAATAAACAAAATATTCTTAAATTTTTGAAATTTAATAATAAATATTTTGTTTATTATTATTTAAATTTCATTTTTTAATTTTGCATAAAATATATTTTTTAATTTAATTTCTTTTTTTTATTGACATTAACATTTATTTTCTTGATTGATGACGTTTATTATGGTGGTTAAAAATTTTTATCAATTGATATAAAATTTTATAATATTATATAAACAGTGAAATTATCTGACATAATTAATTATAATAATATTAATAATTTACGAAAAAAATTGTTATAAAATATATATATTATAGTTCTTATAAATAAATATATATATTAATCATATTATTTTAACTTATTATATATAAACTTATTATAAGCATATAAGATTATATATAATACTGTATGATTATATAATCTTGTATGATTATATATAATCACAATATTGTACCTCAAATATAAACTTATTTAAACATATACGTTGAAATATGGCCTTATATTATCTTGAATAACATTATATGATCATACAAGCTCTTATCAGGCCAAAATTCATATATAAGCATATAAGATCGCTTCTTATATGACTATATAAGAGGTATTTTTTCCCGGG